GCAGAGTTAAAGGCTTTAGTTACTATGGATTTGTTACCAGAAGGTGCTTGAGTACCCATGGACTCCTGTGGAATACATTTTATCAAATAAACTACAAGATAACCAAATTACAAATTAAATGTTGAACCTAAATTGCATCAACACAGTAAAACAGGATTCTGAAACAGGACAGTCAGTGGAAAACTCATAGGCACCTTGATAAAGATTTTACTGCACATTAACTTAAAAAGAATTTACATTTAAAGTTCTCATATCTAAGGGCATTTATAGACATGCTCCAAAAGGCAGCAGGCACAGGAGCTTTAATTAGCGCAGCTCCGAGAGCCACACTAATTAAAAGCGCCCTGACCACTATGTGTATTAGTGTCACTGCACTGAAAAATGGTGGTGGGGTGCTTTGAACTAAAGCTCACTGAACGAGCTTTAAAGCGCCCCGCCAGCATTGTTCAGTGCGGGGACGCTGACACACGATGCTAGAGTCTGCTGGAGCGCAGTAATTTCCACACTCTAGCAGACGCAATAAATCAAGTCTGCTCCGACACATTGGAATTACCGCACGTTGGAGCAGCCTCCCTGCATGTGTGTAAGAGCCCTAATGTTTTACATTCAAATGCATTTGATGAAATACAACATTTTTCTTGTATATACATTTAAACAATATAAATTAAAGTCCATTTTCTCTAATATACTGTTCCATTTGGTTTATTTTACATCTTACCCAGACTTCAATAAATTACCCCATAGGATTGCCCCCCAAAAGTTTATTCCAATGTGTTATTACAGTTTAAACATATTTGTCACATTTTGCTCTTCTCCCTCTTTCCAAACTAGAAGACAAAGTTGCTTTCTTTTCTCCCTTTCTTTTCCAATATAAACATTTAGCACAAACCTATCTATTGAACAGAAATACTTTTTCTGGTAGACTGCTAAAATGTTTACACACCAGAATGCTGTGGGTTTATGCAAGATAAATGCTTCCATATAGAACCTGGAATCTCAGGTATAACTTCAAATGTCTGTGTATGTGACACTCCAGCTAACTGAATCAAAAAGGCAGAAAATGTCATATAAAAAGCCTAGTCACAGGACAGTTAATATGTGGATGTTGTATGTAGTCTGTACCTGTACAATAGAGTACTGCTTTAATGTACTCTAGGGAACCTTAATAGTTTCACATGCATGCACGTACACCCTTCTCCAGCCTAATTTTGAATCACACTGGACGTCTGATTTCATACTAAATATTCAAATCTTTAAGATGTTTCATGAAACAAGGCCATTAAAATATGCATGGAAGATGGATACTTATGAGGTATCAATAGACTGTTACATTTACGGATGCTAAGATGGTCTGTATTTTAAAGCTTATTTTGCTAACTGTTTTAAGTGCAAGTCAATGGCTGAAAGAGATCCTATTTTCTTTTTTAATATACTATGGTAAGAAGATACTAAATTTTACCTCAGTTTCTGGGGTTGGAGATGGAGTTATGGAACTAAGGGATCCTTTCCTTGAACCCTGACGATCTGTTGGTATCGAGACAGGACGTTCCCACTGGGTTGTTCCCGTTGGTATGTGCCAATAATAGATCCCTGCAATGTCATTGATTTTTTTCCAGCCCGGTGGCAAGTCAGGGTCTGTCTGAAATGAGTGATCACTCCATATATCTGCTGGGAAAGTTAAAATAAACCAGTATTATTAACATGTGAGACTTTTATTCTCTTCCAGTTCTCATCTTGATTGAAATGATGCAGCACTAGTACTCTTCTTGCTCTTTGCAGAAATAAATAAGAATCACAGAAATAATTTAGACAGTATTAGTAAGCATTAACATGACAGTAAATGGAGGAAAAGTATGTAAAAAAAAGAGACGTTGTAAAATATTTCAGTTCATTTTTTTAAATAGGCTTAAATCCTTTAATTATGAAGATAAACAACAGAGTATTTGTTCCAGTGTTAAGCAATTATGTAGAATGAGTGGCTAAGAGTTGTTTCAAAATATCTCTACAAAATTTCCTGAAGAAAAGAACATATAAAAGGTTCCATATTTCCGATCACAACAGTCCTTGGACATCAATTTTAGTGCTGGATCCTAACAAGTCTTTTACCTATTATGCTCTTGACCTCAGTAAATGTCTTATATCCATAAGCTCCATTTTCTAAAATATATTTTAGAAGTAAGCTCTTCGTGAACTAAATGTGCCTCATCTTTTCCATCTCTCCTCATTTAAATATGGATGTAAATATTTTTTGAGCATACTATTCCAGGTGGCAAGCACAAGCCACAATGCTTTTCCAGTGGTGTCACCTAATATTATTCACTGCTCTTACACTAAGATGAGCTAATTCTGAGAATGAAGAGCTCCGGAGACCTCCAGCTACATGACTAAGGTAATATTTAACTCTGAGTCTCACATCTGTTGTAAGCAGAATACAACTTAAGAGTCAACATCTTAGATTTGGTACTCAGCCCAAGAATATGCCAAATATGTCAAATATCTGTTCTATTCTATTTCACACTCAAAGTCTGTTTCTGCCTCCAATGCTGCCTGCAATTTAACACTTTCTTATCTTTCCTTAACCAAGTGATTCTCAACCAGGATGCCACACAGTATGATGCAATATTAACACTGTTAGCTGTGCAAACATGTACATAATTCACAAGATAAACCCAGATATTTTAAATATTTTAGTGTTGAAAGCATTCTGATCTGCTGTTGTCTTTCCAAGTTCTTTGCAAGAGAATTGGTCTCTTATTTTTCTGTAGTCAAGAAATTAGGAAAACAAAGAACTGGCATTTTATGAGGGTTGCTGAGTTAAAAAAAGGTTGAGAACCACTGATTGAGGGTAATGGGATTGTCCATGTGACCTACCAAGAATCACCATGAAGTCTGATGCAATGTACCAGTAAGTATATGATGAGGCACCTGAAATCTAGCATATATCACCATCTGCCTTTCTCTTTTGGGAAAAAGTAGTAAGAGCAACTTTCTGCCCTGAACCCCAGGGATTTATGGTATTCAAGTTGAAGTAAAGAATTTGCCTGAGGGACCTGTGAGAATGGTCCCTAAAGACATGAGCTAGAATTGAATGATCTTAGGAGATCCACTCTTCAGTCATAATTTCAGTCCAGTTCTTGAAAAGGGCAAGGCAAGAACCAAGGTGGGGAGAAAGGGGACATCCTAGTAAATTAATCCAAGACCCTCAACCTAGCATGAAGTTTGGTATGTAGACCTGTTGGAGAAGTGGCAGAAGTGGCTTTCCCCTTTTGAAATTTCAGTCTCTTCCAGAATTATTAAAACAGGGGTTGCTGGAAGAAATAAGATAAAGGAAGAATTTGTCTTCTGTCTGTGGACAACTGACTGCTTTTTCACGAAGGAGTTCTTGAGGTATTCTCAATAACTTTTGCCTGAATCAATTCTAAGTTGGATGTTCCTCTCACAGAGTTGTCTAGATTTGAACTGAGGCTCTTTAGCTGTTAGTACATGTTTCTGAAGTGATTTGCAAACTTCACACTTAGATGGGATACAACTCTTACACAGAGCTGGTATTAGACTTGTGGGGGGGGGCTTTTTCCTCCTATCTGTACACTGCATGACTTGCATTAGCTTAGCACAATCAGGCTCCAATTGACCCCAGCTGCTGTCCCTTAAAATCACTCACCACTGTTCTAAGCAATCAAAGTACTAGATCTGCCCTTCATTTAGGTCAGCTGCAGAGCCAGAACTCTAGTGTCACCTACCACAACAAAGACAATGCGTTTCCTACTACAGCCAGTCCACAAGGAAAGGAAGATCAGATTTAAAAAAACCCAATTAAAGTAACTACAGTGCAACTATAGAAGAAGCTAAACTACGCTATAGATAGTGAGCTGTTTCAACCTTACCAAAGGGCAGCTGGTAGGAACTAACCGGTGGGTGGAAGAGAGCATACACAGATGATGACACACATGAGCAAACTTTATTGGTGAAAACAGTCCAATCTCCTTCATGGTGGGCACATAAGAATGAAAGTTGGTTCAACACATCCAAATATGTGAAGATAAATCAAGGTCTATTTTTAATTGTAAAGCTGCTGTTTTTAGAGACATGGTTATTTCTGACCCATTACCTTGTGTGTCATTTCAAGAAATGTATTAGCAAAGTAATGCTGACTTGTAGTTTTAAATATAAGACAACCATTTTTAAATGTCTGTTGGATTATAACCTCATTAAAAGTTGTTTCAACCAGTTATTATTTATTTCAATGTCATTTACATCACCCCACCACAATTTTATTTGCTTTTACAATAGTAATAAAACCAACTTTATTACAGCCATGAAGATTTATGGAATGACTGCATAAAGCAAATATATATTTCTTTGTATTTGGGTAGGTTTATTTACAACACAGTAGATCAGAATGAGCCATGATCTATTGGAAGAAATAATTATTTAAGAGACCTTTACTCTATAGGCTTCTTTATGAAATAGGCAAGAACAACCACCACAGGTTTTAGAATGAGTTATGTTAAACAGTAAGGGCTTTGGCACAGGTTACCTTAAAACATCATAAAGCCATTTAAAACAGAAGCAATCATTAATTCAGGGGTATTAAACCACCATAAGCACCCTCTAAATGTTTTAGAGAGATACCACAACAGCCGAGGTTTATCTTTGATACATTTTGCCCAGGATAGCATATGGATGTTCTAGGGAAATAAAATGTCTTACTTTCATTTATCCAGCATCCCAGAATGCATAGGTCCCAACTACTCTACTCCTTCCCACCTACTAAATCTCTAGTGGTCTCCAGTTGCATGGTCTCATTGCCTGAGGGACTCTGGGCTCAGCACAGAGCCACTGTGGCTCTAATTCATAGGAGACAGTGCTTGTTTTGTTTGTTTGCTTGTCTCAGCTGCATGGTTGCCTTGGCTGGGGTCCCTGCTTTGCAGGGAGCTGTGGGGACTCAATTAACCAGAGACCACACAGTGGGGGAAAGCTTCACTGTGCCTCAGTTTCCCTGGCCCCACAAACCATCTGTTTCTCAGCCCTGCCCTACGTGCTCTATGCCATGCAGCAGGCATGCTGGTTCTCAGTTTTGCCCTTACGTGTGTTCTTTGCCATGACAACGAGCAAGTGTTGCCAGCCTTGTCCCCTGGCTTTTCCTCCCCTTCCCCAGCCCTCCAGGCAAGCCAGCATGACTCTGGCTACCTTTAACCCAACTCCCACCCTTCCAACCCAATCCCAATTCACTGGGACACAAGCAAGTTTTTAATACCTTTTTTCACTCCTTTCTCTTATTCCCCCTCACTTACTTCAAACAGTTTTTTAAAGATTTCTCCCCTCCCTCCCTCCCTCCACTCTGGCTGGGTCCTGCTGGCTAAAGACCCCCCCAAACCCCCTGGCAATGAGAACATGCAACTGGTCAACAGCTTAGGCTCCATGCTGCTTGCTCTGCCTCCAAGCTACATACCACTCTCCCAGCTCCTCTCCCACCACAGAAGAGAAACAGAGTCCTGGCTCCTGTCCACACCCCTGCCCACCAGCAGCAAGTCACAGTCATGCAGGTGTGAAAAAAAACATGAAGCCTTCACCTGAGACTGCTCTAAAAATGCCATAAATTTATGACATCACAAACTTCCACAGATTTCTGTTGTTATACTGGTAACCTGTGCCAAAGCCCTAAATTGAACCACTGTAATAAATGCTATCAAAATTCACTCTAGGGTGTTAGAGGAAGGTCAGGCCAGGCAACAGACATTCACTACATTTTCATATTTTTATCCCCGATTGATGCTGGAGTACCATGACCAATTATGGTTTCCAGTTCCATTTTCAGAATTATTCTGTTCACTGGGTCTAAAAAATATTTTACCATAATTTCAGTGCAAAGAAAAAAAATCCCTTAAAATCTGTCACCACTGATCATCCCAGACTTAACCTGCTGGCTATTTAAAGGTCAATATTGTTAAAGATTTGCAGCTGAACTAATTTAAGTAGATCCATATGAAAGGACATGCCACAAGAATAAAGATGTGGCATTTTCCAATGGAAGTTTTACTAAGACTGAAGATTAAGGCCTCATCTGCATGGGGGGAATTGAGGAGTCTAACTATCCTAGAATAAATCTTTTGGTATAACTTAGTTTTTCCATACTACCTCCTTGTATAGCTACACTCTTTAAGGATAAGAGTGGCTTTATACTTGAACAAAATCTAGAAAAGAGAAAAAGGGAAGAGACAAAGTAAGATACCCTGAATGACAGACAACATGACATTTTAAGAGCTGGGGTTTAAAGACACGTAAAATAAGCTCAGTTTCATTTAAAGCAACAATTAAAAGGTACAAAAAAATGGGTTCAATTGTTCCTATCTGCTGCCGCCAGTTTGCAGTAGTAAAGCCCAACAGGCATCTTTGGAGAATGAGGGCTGCTGCCTGTATGCAGTCCCTGGAGCTCAAGACTCAGGTTAGGGACAGAAATTACACATACATCAGTATAAGTGATGGGAAACTAGTCCAAACCTGCAGAACAGAAGTTCAGAGGGGTTTCAAAATAGCTGAACCCAGTTTAAGATAGAGCTGGATGGATGTAATTATCAGATTTAATCAGTTTAGGTTAGACCAGTCTATTGAACTTCTATCCCAGATTCCCTCCCAAATCAAGTTAGGTCACAGTCTCCCAGTATACC